AAACCAACTTTTGGATTTATTGATCTGTTCTATAATCTTTTTATTTTCAATTTCATTTAATTCTGCTCTAATTTTGGTTATTTCTTTTCTTCTGCTGGGTCTTGGATTGGAATGTTCTTCCTTTTCCAGTTGCTTAAGATGTCCCATTAGGTTGTTGACTTTCTCTCTTTCTGTTGTCTTGAGGAAGGCTTGTAATGCTATAAATTTCCCTCTTAGGACTGCCTTTGCGGTACCCCAGAGGTTCTGGTAACTCATATCTTCATTATTATTATGTTCTAAAAATTTGGTATTTTCCTTCTTGATCTCATCTTTGACCCATCTATCATTCAGCATAAGGTTATTTAGCTTTCATGTTTTTGTATGAGACAGCAAATTCCTATTGTTACTGAGTTCAACTTTTATTCCATGATGGTCTGAGAAGATACATGGAATAATTTCTATTCTTTTAAATTTACTAAGGTTAGACTTATGACCTAGGATGTGATCAATTTTAGAGTGTGTTCCATGGACTGAGGAGAAAAATGTGTACTCAGTTTTGTTGGGATAAAAAGTTCTGTAGATGTCTGTTAGGTCCAAAAGTTGGATAGTTAAATTTAAATCCAGGATTTCTTTGCTCAACTTCTTTTTGGAGGATCTGTCCAACACTGCCAAAGGAGTGTTGAAATCTCCCACTATGATGGAGCTGGGAGAGATCAAGTTGCTCATGCCAGTTAGAGTCTCTTTTATAAATTGAGGGGCATTCTGGTTGGGTGCATAGATATTGATATTTGAGATCTCATCATACTGAGTATTGCCCTTAACAAATATAAAGTGGCCATCTTTATCTTTGGTTACTTTTGTTGGTTTAAAACCTATTGTATCTGCGACTAAAACTTCAACACCTGCTTTTTTCTGCTTTCCATTAGCCTGGAATATAGATGACCATCCCTTCACCCTGAGTCTAAATTTATCTTTTTAAGTAAGGTGCAATTCTTGAATACAGCAGATGTCTGGTCTGAGTTTCTGTATCCAATCACCCAATCTGTGCCTCTTTAGAGGACAATTTAAGCTATTCACATCGATTTAATTTAACACATTTACATGTGAAGTAATTGCTGATTGGGAAGGATTCTCAATAGCTATTTTATTTGTTTCTGTATGTCTTATAGCTTTCTTGCCCCTTATTTTCTATCTCCTTCATCTAATTAGTTGATTTTTTTGTGATATATTTTGATTCTTTGCTTAATTCCTTTTTGTTTATATTTATAGATATTTCGTGGTTACACAAGGATTACCTGTAAAATCCTCAAGCTATTACAATGTGTTTTAAACTGATACCAACTTAACATCAATTGCATACATAAATGCTATTCCCTTAGAACTCTGCCTCTAGATTTGCAATTATTTTTATTCATTCGTCTTTTAAATCCTATAGAAAGAAAATGTTGAGTTACAAATGAAAATTATACTATTACAGTTTTTTTTAATAATTGTTCATGTGTTTATTTTTTTGCTAGAGAACCTTATGTTTTTTATTTGGCTTCAAGTTCCTGACTGGCATCCTTTTATTTTAACTTTAAGGCATCTCTTTAGCATTTCTTGTAGGGCAGATCTAGTGATAACAGACTTCATCATCTTTTGTTTATATGGAAATAGCATTTGTGCTGAATAGTCTTGCCAGATCAAGAATCCTCAGTTGACAGTTTTTGTTGTTGTTGTTTTCTCTGGGCACTTTAAATATATCATACCCCTATCTGTGGTCTATGGAGTGTCTGCTGAGAAATCGACTAGTAGTCTTATTGAAGATAATCTTGTGTGTGATGAGTCTCTTTTATCTTGTGGCTTTTGAGATTTTCTTTTTGCCTTTAACTTTTGGGTTGTTTATGAAATACCTCAGTGTGAGTCTTTGGGGGTTTATCCTACTTTGAGTTCATTCATCTTTTCATATTTCTCTGTCTTTTCTCAAATATTTCAATTTTAGGCCATTGTTTCTGCAAATAAACTCTTTTCCCCTTTGTCAGATTCAAAGAGATTTTTAAAAATTTATTTAATCTGAATCCCTGTTTAGCGAGGGCCTCTGAGCCCCTTCTGCTGGGATGAATCTGGGTTGCCCTCTAGTTGCCCCAACCTCCCTCCCCAGTTATCTCTCCATGAGCTCCTAGTGTGTGCTCAGAATGGTCCCAAGCTGCCAGCCCTGACATCCCTAGGACCTCCATTCCCTCTGCCTTGATGGAGACCTGCTCCCCGATTGGCCCTCCTGGGTGGTGACAAGCATGCTTTCTTAGCCAAACACAGGTCAGGCTCCTCTGAGCCTCTTCTCAGCTTGGCTGCTGATCCCATTCTAGCAAAGGACCTAAAGTACCACCTCACTGTGAAACCAACCACCATCTCCAGCTAGCCCCTCTTCCCACTCTTGACACCTCATCAGATCACTGTCCCCTCACTCCTAACTGAATTCTTCTTAGCATGATCCATACACTCCCCTATCCTACCTACTGACACGAGTCTCCACTTTTCTCTAGTGTATTTGAAGTTGAGTTTAATCTCCCCTCATTGCAGTAGTCTTGGATAAGGTCTTTCTTTCTCTCTGACAGTGGCCTGCCTATGTGGTGACAGCACCACTGGCCTGGCCAGCATGCTGCTTGCCCTCTGGCCTGACTCATGTCCTGCTTTCATCACTGGTTCAGTGGGTCCATCTGTCCCCTGCAGTCCTCAATTGCTATTTTGTTTGTTTCTGTATGTCTTATAGCTTTTTTGCCCCGTATTTTCTATCTCCTTCAACATGCCTGTGAAACATGCCATCCAACAGTCTTCTCAGCACCCAATCCCACCACCATCTTGGCTGGTTTCAGCATCCATGTGGATGGCTCATCCAAAACCCAGCCCTCCCAGTTTGGAGATGGCTTCAGCTTTGGGGACTTTCTCCTCTACTCCACATAAGCTTCCACTGTACTCCCTGGACTAGAAATGCTTCAGATGCACTCAGATCTTAATGCTTCCACACCCTGCCTCTCACCATGCTCCTTTCCTCCACATCCTTCCTCTCCTGCTTCTCTGTGTCTCTGAGCTCCCTGAACCTTGCCCTCCCTTTGTCTCACTTGGTCCTAATCTCTTCCCTGTCCAGCCATCAGTGAGGAATGTGCTCCTGGATGCTAAGGAGGAGCCCAGGGAATGCTTTCATAGTGAAGGCTGGGCTGTGTGTGATTAGACACGTATTTTTAACTGTTTTACAGCAGCTGAAAAGAAAACATTTTTAGGAAGGAATACCTTTTCTGATTCATAGCCAGGGGTCATATGGGCCAGCAGCATCCCCCCCATCTGATGAGACCGATGCCAAAGGCAGAGTTTGGTCCATTACCAGAGAATGTGAGTTAGAACAGCACCTGGGCACATGTGGGTCTCAGTGAACATACATCTGTACATTAGGTGTGGCCTCAGGTGCTTGGTGTGTGGTGGGTTCTGCTGCCCTCTCTACTCTGCCTCCTTCCCTGGTTGTTCCTACGGGGGTCCCTGAGGTGTGTGCTGTACCCACACTCGGGAAGAATAGACTGAGTGAGGCCTGGCCAGTCAGATGATGTGTCCCAGCCATCAATTATGCTGAAGCCAAAAAGGATCCCCTGTTTTGTAAAAAGAAAAATAATTGTCAATTATTTTTGTTAGCAATAGGCACATTGTTAGCAATAGGCACATCTTTATATTTTTCACTTTGGCAATCAAGAACTTAATGAACTGAGTAAAGGGGACTAAGAAAATACATATATTCACTTTGAAACTTTTTCTTATTTATGTTTTGAATTTTGCCAGTGAGTGTCATGCTTTTAGGAGCCAACTACCATTTTTAAAGGAGAAAGTTGCATTTCTGTTCTCATTATTCATCTTAAGGAAAGAGAGATGTGTGTTCCTTAAACAAGGTGATTTTGCTGAGGCAGGATTGGAGGTGGTAGAGGCTAGCTGGAGGGGAGAGGGACAGTCAGCCAAAGAGAGGGGACCTGGCTAGAGGCCAGTTTCACAGCAGGAGGCATTGCCTCAGGTCTATGCATAAGCTCGAAGCTGGCCTTGAGATTGCCAGAAACCTGTGTGCATGTTGTAGCTGTCTCTGTGTGTGTGTGTGTCTGTGTATGCATGCATGTGAGTGTGCATGTGCTCACATGCTTGCCCCTGGGAGGAATGGTCCGTCACACTCATCCGGTTCTCAAGGAGACCTCTGCCCCTTACTGCTCTCTCCATGTGCCTGTTGTGGTTGTGTGTGTGTGTGCATGTGCTCACATGTCTTCACCTGGGAGGAATGGTCCATCATTCCCATCTGATTCTCAAGGGGACCTCTGCCCCTTGAAAGGTCCTTTCTTCTTCCCCACACGAAAGGAAAGTTGAAGAGTAATTTGTTCTGCCACCAATGAAATGGTATGTGCTGATTTCTCTCCCAGGAGACTGCCTTTTCCAGGCAGGACTGACCTGGCTGTAGGCCCAGCCAGACTCACTATTTTTTCCTTTTCTTTTCACCCAAGGCCAACACTGGACAAATTGATGATCCCCAGGAGAAACACAGAGTCATCAGCAGCAACCTTGCCCTCATTCAGGTGAGTATCCACCCTGTGAGATTGATGAAGGGCCTTCCCTTTTGAATCTGCATTCAGGTCTGGCCAGGTAGGCTGGGGAGCCCTTTCCCTGCCCTCTGGACTGGCTCAGCCTGCCTCGGGAGCAGCACCGTGCCCCCTGAAGTAGATACCTCTTCAGGGCCCCAGGCTGCTCCAGCTTCCCCAGTCTCTTTTCCAAGCCAAGCTTCAGGGATGGCTCCCCAGTTCTTGACCCTCCTCTTTTCATCAGCTGCACAAGCTATCAGGGCACTCACTGTGTTTCCCAAGGCTTCAGGACTCCCATGATGGATAAATCCTGTCGTTACCTTTGACACACAATATTATTATTATATTTACTCTTCCTGGGGCATCTGTGGATCTTTCCTGCCTCTCTACCAGTTCTCTCTCAGCCTTTGAGAGATCCTCGTACTCCTTGAGTGCTTTATGCTTCTCACAAACTTGTATGTCCTTCTGCCAGGTCCTAGTTGGGCTACGTTCTCATCCTGGGACCTGGCTGCAGGTTCAGGAGGCCCAAGGCAAGGGGAGATGAGGGCATATGGAAGGCTAGGCCTGGAGCTGGATAGGTGGGAGTCATGTCCAGCACTTTCTGGGCCCCTCTGGGTTGTGGCAGCACAGAGATCCTGGACCCTGGGATTAGATATTCTGTCACTTGTCAGCCAGGTATCCTTGGGCAGGGCCGTATCTCCCTGGCCATCAAATTAGGATGATAACCACTCTGTATCTCATCTGGCCTCCAGAACGTCTGTGCCTAACTCTCTGCCAGGCATCCCCATGGCAGCACAGCCACCTGGCCTCGTTGTCTTCCCTCTTCACACTCACCTCTCTGGGAGTCCCTGACTCAGTCTATTTTGGTGGTCGAAAGATCACTCTGGGAGTCAGCAGCTGAGAGACCTCAGTCAGATCACTGCACTTCATCTGGGACTGAGTGGTTGGGAAATTGTGAGTCTGTGGAGCTAGCTCTAGCCAGCACACAGCCAGTACCCAGTGGTGGTGGCTGTGCTTGGTGGGTGGTCCCTCCCACTTTGCCCACCTAGAAGTACAATCACCTACAGTTGCTTCCTTACAGGCATCACCCTCTGAGGACCGTGCCTCCAAGCTGTGCTTGAATCCAGCTGGCTTCTCCTCCCCCTCTCCCCCTGTTCTTCCTCCTCCTTCTCCTGCTTGCCTGCCTTGGAAGCTCACCCCAAGCCTGGAAGACTGAAGACCTCTGCACTGTTCTGAGTACTCCTAGGCCAGTAAGCCTCCAGCCTGGCCTCTGCATAGCCACCTGGGTGGCCTTTTCTAAAACCCAAAGGTGGTTCCTCTCATCCAGGACTGGGCCTGACTCGGCCCCTCCCTCTCCCACCCCACGTATGTCCTCCACCCTTCACACCTCCGAGCTCAGCCCTGCAGCTCTCTTTCCTTGGAAAGTCCTTTCTCTTCTTGCTCAGCTGCTGGTGAAGCCATTTATGGCTCTACTCAGGCCTGACTTTCTGCCTGGCACCAGGTGCCGCATGCAGGCTGCTGCAGCTGCCCTGGCTGCAGTTCAGTGTTAGGTGTCCTCCCCCTCCGCACCCGAGAAGGTTGCTCGTTGAGCAACACATCCTGTGGCTGAGGGGCTAGAGGCACAAATGCAGCTAACCAGAGTCTGGCCAGGAGCAGGTCCTGAATATCTTTGCCACAAGTCACACTGGCTGTACTTCTTTGTGTCCATACATATGCACATTTCCACAGAATGGTTTCCTAACATGTGTTTACTTAGCCATGTTCTGGGCCACATCCCGGCTCAGCCCATAGTCCTGATCATAAGAGATGTAATTCTGTCTCTTCCATTTAAAAAAAAAAAACTCCCAATTAATATCAAATCATCACTGGCGCAGTGAATGTTCTGTCATACAAATGTGGGAACTCCATAGACACCAAGAGCTGGATCACAAGGGAGCCCTCTCAGCCCCAGCCTGCACACTTCCCTCAGCTCTACCACCCAGGGTGCCCTGAGGTCTTGTTGGTCTTTGACTCACTTGAAAAATCATATTTCAAAGAAAAATCATACTGCAATGATACTATGCTGCAATTTTACTGAATTTCTTCTTAAGATGACTTCCCACAAGCTCAAAGGATATGAAGAGTTTAAAGATCTAGGTTTTTTTTTTTTTTTTAGATAGAATCTCAACTTTGTAGGGGGCTATGGCGTCACAGCTCACAGCAACCTGAAACTCCTGGGTTCAAGCGATTCTCTTACCTCAGCCTCCGAAGTAGCTGGGACTACAGGTGTCCACCACAACACCCGGCTATTTTTAGAGATGAGGTCTCACTCTTGTTCTGGCTGGTCTCGAACTCATGAGCTCAAGCAATCCATCCCCTCGGGCTCCCAGAGTGCTAGGATTACAGGCATGAGCCACCAAGCCCAGCTAAAGATCTAGACTTTTCTTCAAAAGCACTAGCATTAATATGCACCACATTTGAATCCATTTCTCTATAATCTCACTAGGAACAAAAGTATTCTTCTAAGCTACTTTTTGTATTCACCATATGTATGTATGCACATACATGCCCACAATTGAAAGTAATTACTTAGATAGCACTCAGTAAATAGGGTAGAGCCTCGATAGCTGACCATCTCCCTACACTGACCAACTCCCTAAGTTGTCCTAATTTTCCAACTGTAGTATATGTGCTGCTGAGGCAGGCCCAAGTTGACCTAATTTTCATAGACTGGACATGCCCCACATGTGCCTATCAGTACAGTAGGCCTAGTTCCTGATGTTGGCCACCTCTGTATGTGACCAGTGTGTTACAATCCTTGGGTTGTCACCTTACAGAGGTTCTGTGTATTAGGTGCTAGTCCTATGTACACATATGGGAGTGTTTCTTTGGGAAAGATGCTGAATCACGGGTATATGGGTAAATTATAGCCAATTTCCTCCCTCCCCAAATCCTTATACCATTATAACCACCATTAATTTATAAGAGAACCATTTTCCTGTTATTTGGCAATAAGTATTTTATCAAACCGTTTAATGTTACCTAGTCGGACACATTAAAAAAGTAAATCTCTTCCGTCCATCAATTCATCAGGCATGTCTGAGCACCTGCAAGGGCTGGCCCAGTGTTCAGGGAGAAGACCAGCATCACCTACAAATGAATATGATGTTTCCAAACTGGGATTTTATTTAGAGTTTTCCTAATTACTAAAGAAGTTGATGATCCTATTTTTAGGTCTCAACAGCCATTTGCATTTCTTCTTCTGTGAATTTCCTGTCCATATCCCTTGTACATTTTTTCATCAGGTTTTAAAATAAACTAGACTTTATTATTCTAGACACTAAATCCTGTATTTATTTTTCTTTCTGGATTTTACTTGTATCTTTAGAAGAAGGGCTTCTTTACTAGTCAAAATTGTTAAACATATTATTCTGTGTTTCACACTTCGGGTTTTTATGTTTAGGGGTGTGTATATAAATGGTATGAAGTGGGGACCCATTTTTTCCCCACAAATATACAGATCCAATTTACCTTACCCTGTTTATTCAGTGTTTACCTATTCCATCCTAATTTGAAATGCCACCTTTATCATATAAAATCCTCATAACACTCATGGTTAAATTTTCACATATTAAATTTGCAATATTAATGACTCTGTTCTTAGACTCTGTCCTGTTGATCTATTTGTCCATTTCTGCCAGTACCACACTGCTTTTTTCCTTATAGTTGCAGAATACACATTGGGGCCTGGTGCTATGGCTTATACCTGTAATCCCTGCTATTTGGGAGGTTGAGGCAGGAGGATCACTTGAGGAGCCCAGGACTTTGAGACCAGTCTGAGCAACATAGCAAGACCCTGTCTCTAAAAAGCAAAAATACACATTGAAAATAAATACACTGGAACTCCCTCTTTGACCTTTCTCAAAATTGCCTTGGGTATTCTCACGTTTACTCATCTTTGTGAAGTTTACAATTTGTCAAGTGCCATGAAAAATCTTGCTGGGACTTTGGATCAAATCACCTAGGTTAACTTGGGGAGCATTTTTTCATCTTTACCAAGCTAGCTCTTCTCCCTATTTGTGACTGAGCTCTTTGTTTCTGTGGCCTTTAATAACAGGATGTACCTTTTTTTTTGGGTTGGCACTTGAATTAGGGGTATTGACCAGTATTGACCTCTAGATTGGGCACAGCTCTGAAGGGCACCACAGAGGTGAGTGTTTGGCAGGACAGGGGCACTGGGAGGGTGTACAGCTGGGGTAGGAAAGGGTATGAGCAGGGAAGGACAGTCAGGGAAGAGGCCTGTGGTGTTAAGAGGCCTCCCACTTGTGTCTATGGGTTGTGGGACATCCCTGGGGCAGTGAGGTCAGCTGTCTGTGTTGGTGGAGGTTGCTGAGCCCAGACCCATGTGTGGGGTTGTGAGCAAGAGACTATGTGGCCCCAACCAGGGCCTGAGAAGAAGATAAAGAACAAGATTGTGCAGTTGAGGATGGCATGCACCAGGGGAGGAGGTGAAAAGCAGTCATTTGCAAGGGAATTGGGTTGAAGGGAGGTGCTGGTTTTCTCCTTGGACTAGTGGGTGTGAGGTTTTAGGGTGAGTAGCACCCTGGCCTCTGAGATGAGCAAGGGGCATGGTGAATGGGCAGAGAGGAGCATCATTGGCCATAGGGACCCTCCTTCATGCTTCTGATTTCTGCAATGACAGGTGCAAGCCACTGTTGTGGGACTCTTGGCTGCTGTGGCTGTGCTGCTGTTGGGTGCTGTGTCCAAGGAGGAGTTCGACTTGGCCAAAGTGGGGTTGATGTGTGCCAGCAGCATCCTCACTGCCTTCCTCGTGGCCTTCGCCCTGGGTAAGCCCTACATCACTGTGTACCCCATCCAGTACCATCCCCCACCGCTCTGAGCCCCTACCTCAGGGTCCTTTCTGTTTTTAGCTCCTAAAGGTAAGGGGGGGCTATTAATGCGGCCAGCGTGCATTCCTAGAGAGAGTTGGGCTTTCCTGCTTCACCCTCTGCTGTGTGGAGGCCTGGCTGTAGCTCTGCAGATCCCCCTGGCTATCATTCTCCCAGGCTGAGGTCTGATGCTGTCTGTCTAGACAACCAGCCTGCCGGTCTGTGGGCACGTACTGCACATGCCTCACAGACTGATGTGCAGGCCTGTGATGGGCCCTGAAGGCTGAAGACATACTAGGGACAAGGCCTCTGTTTGAGCTTAAAGACCACCTCTTCAGAGAGCCCTTTTTGACATGTCTTAGTTCATTTGGGCTGTTGTAACAGGACACCCCAGGCTGGATTCTGGTGAAGTCCCTCCATGGGTTGCAGGTGGCACATTCATGAAGGCTCCACCCTCATGATGTAATCACCCCCCCAAAGGCCCCACCTGCTTATATCATCATGGAGGGGGGAGTATTTCAACCTATGGATTTGTGAGGACACAGCGTTTGGTCCACAGCACCTCTGTCTCACAAGCACCCTCCTCCTCTCTCCCTTCCCAGGGCCACTGTGCTCTGCTGTGAACTTTTTTTTTTTTTTTTTTTTTTGAGACAGAGCCTCAAGCTGTCCCCCTGGGTAGCTGTCCCCCTGGGTAGAGTGCTGTGGCATTACAGCTCACAGCAACCTCCAACTCCTGGGCTCAAGCGAGTCTCCTGCCTCCGCCTCCCAAGTAGCTGGGACCACAGGCGCCCACCACAACGCCCGGCTATTTTTTGGTTGCAGCCGTCATTGTTGTTTGGCAGGTCCGGGCTGGGGATTTGAACCCGCCACCTTAGGTGTACGTGGCTGGCGCCTTAGCCGGTTGAGCTATAGGTGCCGAGCCTCTGCTGTGAACTTTTGAAGTCCTCTCTCAGTCTTGCCTCCCTGCTAGAATGTCAGCTCCTGGTGGGTGGACCTGCAATTACTGCCCTGCCATCTGCTGCTCCTGCCACACACCTAACATAGCAGGTGCTTAGCGTGTGTGTGTAGTGGGTGAGAGATGTGACCTCCCTCTTGGGGACCCACATGCTGGTTGGAAAGCACAGTTGCCATGTAGTGGCCCCCTTCGTGACTCCATAGGTGCTGGATGTCTGCAGTGTGCAAGGCACGTCCAGGGCTACGAGGATACACTGAGAACAAAGTATACAGGATTCCACTTTTTATGTGTGTATTCCAGTTGAGATGCAAACTGTAACAAACTCATGAAGGCACAGAAAAATGTGAGCAAGTGCCCAGGCCTTCTCTGGTCAACACTAAACTAGCTTTTGTCTGGTCTTGCCTTATTTTAGTATCTTGTTTCAGTTACCTCAAGTGCGTGTTCTTACACTTGTGTATGGTCTGTTCCCCCACCTGACAAGCCTTGCCCCTGATGAGGACAGAGCCTTTTGATTATTGTTACTACTTAAACCAAGGCTAGGCCTATAAATAGCTCCCAAATGATTGCTCAGCAAGTGTACTTTATTCTGGTTCTCTTCTGGATCATGTGCTGCATGTGGGAGAGCTCAGCAGCATGAACATTTGAACATATCTCGGTTGTCCAGAAACACCACCAGTGTTTCACTGTGGGGCATCAGTGTGGCTGTGATGTCATTGTAGCGGTTTCTGATAGGTGCCCCGAACCACTTGCATCCTTTATGTGGTTCCTGTGGATTGTCACAGGCTCACAAGCCAAATTGTACAAACTCAGATTCAGGTAGAACTGGCATTTCAAAAGGAAATGCAGGACCTGTGACTTAGTCACAAGATAAGTCAGGGGCTGGCTGATGGTGCCAGCTTTACGGTGGTATCGAAGGGATGGTTGTAATTATTTTTTGAGTTACGGGGTCCTTGTTAAAGTGTGAAGATGTCAATAGCCAGGATGGAGTGTCTTCTTAAAGAACCAAGTGAGTCTGCTGACTCAAATCCTAGGCAGTGGATAGGGAGCCAGAAGAATGACCGCACATGACTCTCCCCTTCAGAACAATGAGTCAGAACAGAAAGGATACCCTCTGGAGGCATGGCTGCCATGAGGATGCACCTCTTAGGTATCTAGTGTCATTCCCTGAGATCCTTCACCAGTTGCTCTCGAAAGCGACATGCTGCTTCCCCGTGCCCAATGCCAACACTGCCTGGTCCCACCAGAGACATGGGTCCCCCAAGGGTCCCTCTGGCAGTCTGGCTGAGCTTGCCTAGAACCACACTACAGTCAAGGATGCATTCTGTCTCCCCTCTCTTTCCCCTGGGCCCAGCTGCATCGAGGTTCCTCCCTGTTTTCCCTGACAGGCTTTGTCCCTAATAAATCTCTCACACAGCTGATTCCACTTGGCATCTGTTTCTTAGATAAGCCAAAGAAGCACGAGAGGCCACTTAGCCCTTGGGGGCTCCTGCTGGTCAGAGCATCTTTGGAGCCCTCCATGCTATGTGGGGCTGTGAGCTTCCTGTAGTTCCAGGTGATTTGGGAGCCCAGGAGCCACAGGCCAAGTCACAAAAAGGAGTCTAGCTCTCCCAGCCTTCTAAGGCCTCCAGCGTACAAGGAAAAGCTCTGAAATCCAGGTAGCCTGGCTCCACATCTAGGAGTGGACAAAGGCAGGTTCATGGTTAGCCTGGCAACCATCTGCCAGTCCCGTGTCAGTATTATGTACCCTGTGCCTTCTCAGGGCTGTCTGGCTCCCTGGGATTTGAGTCTTGTCTCTGTCCTCTTTTTCTGCAGGAGTACTAATGGTCTGTATAGTGATTGGTGCTCGAAAGCTCGGGGTCAACCCAGACAATGTTGCAACACCCGTTGCAGCCAGCCTGGGAGACCTCATCACACTGTCCATTCTGGCTGTGGTTAGCAGTTTCTTCTATGGACACAAAGGTAAGGATGGCTTCAAGGAGGATGGGCCTTGGGGCAGGTCACCACCAAGGCTGAGTGGAAACTTTTGCACCCAGCCCTTGTGCTGTGGCTTGTAATGTGTCCCCCAGATTTCACATGTTGAAAGCATAATCCCCAACATGGCAGTGTTGAAAGGTGTCTGGGGTAATGAGTGAATGGTTATTGTGGGAGTAGAACCGGTGGCTTTCTAAGAAGAGGAGGAGCTCTGGGCATGTTAGCACACTCACCTCCCCCCCCCCAACGGGATGGCCTCTACCACCCCAGGATTTTGCAGAGAGTCAACACCAGCAAGAAGCCCTCACCGGGTACCACTGTTTGCAGGTGCCCCTTCTTGACCTGGCACCTCATCCTCCATAACAATGAGAAATTTCTTTTCTTTATAAATTAACCAGTTGCAAGAAGTTCTGTGATCAGAAATAGAAAAGGGACTAAAATGGTACCAAGGGGAAAAGGGGAAAATGGTACCAAGTAGCGGAGTATTGCTAATGCCAACCTTAAATAATGAGATTAGAAAATATGATTCAGTATAAAGTTTATTCAAGCTCAAAGCTTGAGAATGAAAGTGGGATTTTAAGGAAAAAAGAAGAGATAGTTCCTAAGTTGTTAATAAGAATTTACATAAAATAACAAAAGCTACTGATTGGCTGTATACATTGTTCATATCACAAATTCTAAGACCATGAAGATAATGGGTAGGCAGTCCCTAGACATGGGTTTTGGGGTGTGACTGAAGTCCCACACTCATGTCTTTCTGGGTCTGATACACTTTGCATTCCTCACATAATAACTCAAGAATGCTCTGAGTTTTTTTTTTTTTTTTTTTTCTTATTCCTCTCCTTTCCATCAAGATATTTCGAGGAAAGCATTGTAGGTGAACACAGATGGTTTGGGCTCCTTTTATATTCAGAAGCTTAATCTTGTGTTGTAGGAAGGCTCATTCCCAGATAGTCCTCTCCCATGTGGTGGTGTGGGAAGAAGATATGTCTCAGTGAATAATTTTAAGAGCACCAAAAGCTGATGTGATTGTCATCACACGTGGCAACAGTGAGACCTCAGTTAAGTCAGCGTAGTCTTTGGAATACTGTGAGTTTAGTTTTGTCTGAAGTAAAAGCGTGAGAGACATATGGTAGAAATATGATGCACATTGGATTATAATCACAAAGAGAATTTGTATGCCAGAATGGTGAGGGGAAAAAAGCTATCCCAGCCCGGAGTCAACTAAAAACATCATGAAGAAAATTAAAACCTGGTCCTTCTTTAGAAACTTCTTGTAGCTTAGAAATAATTCTGGATAGAGTCCAGATTATAGGAATGTAATGAAAACTCGAAAGCAATGGTCAGGGCTAGAATCTAGTATCAGGGGTCCTGAGGCTGATCTTCTGACATAATTTCTCTCCTTGAGGTTCCCCATTTCTATCAAAGATTATACTTAGTAGGACCAACTTACTTGTAAAATAAGTCATGGATGTTTTACATGGCCTGATTATTTGCATAAAGTGTGACAAAGAC